AGTTTGGGCTAGGCAGTATATACACTTATGCTTTATTCTTCCTCGAAAATTAATGTGTGGCATTCGTTGTTTGATGCGCTGTGTGGCTATGTAAAATTATATTCTTTATATGTACAACAATAATTGAACAGGCGCACCCAACGACTTTTCTCTGTAAAGTAACTGCTCGAAGGAGCAAAATATTTGGCTAGAAATTTCTAAAGTTCGACTGAAGGCTAATAACCGTTTCTTTCGTCTAACATATTCGGAATTTTTCAACCAACTTCTATACTTAAGACTTTTGGAGGTTGTATTTTTCCACTCTATTACCAAAATATTTCAGTTAGTGTTCAGGCAGGTCACCTGAAAATTCCAGTGTGAAGAAAAAACCTTCTCTAAAATCTTCTAATGAAGGACGGGTTACTCCATATCCTTGAACTTTCGATCGGACTCATGGGTAGCTCATAAACAGTACCTTTGATGAAACGATAAAGGCATCTAAAACTCCCCAGACGATCAAAGTTCCCCTAAGACAGCCGAACAGTGAAACAGTTTTTAGGGAAGTTCCAAATTAAACAATGAAGGTTTTCAAGCATAGAGGAAACCATTTGAGATACTTCTAACGTACTTAAAGCCATAATCGGTGGTGGCTTCCCTATTTTGCTATTACTAAATGGAGAAATAACATCCTGTGTCGACTTTAACTAAGACTATGGTTGCTAATTCAGAAATGTAAATTTGCAACCATTGCAACTGTTGGCCATAACCATAATTTTCTAAGGTCACAGAACAAAAGAAACATTATTCCGTCGCAATTTTTCCACAGCGTATAGAGTCGTCTGCAATCCCAGGCTAGAAAACCACACAAAACAGAAACAAATATTCAAGATCTTTAAAAGAATTAATTTTCAGAGTGATTGGTTCCAGCGGTTTAACGGCGCAACATGTTAAAGGTACAGCCGAACCTGACCTCTTACGGACAACTCTCTATGAAGGAAATTTTTGTTTGTCCCAACTACAGAACGTCTCAGTAAATTCCTTCCTCAATAATGCGAGCCATTGCAAGTCTGTCCCGTGGTAAAAAGGTTTGAGTCAGTTACTTTTATTTGGGTTTAAACATGTCGCTCCTTCTTTGTAAGAAGGCATGCGGCAAAGAGGAAAAGGAAACACTGAAATACTGAAATCTTCTAGCTGGTTGTATCCCCTTTGAGACGTTTAAAAGTGTAACAGGATAGCAGCAGATGGAGCCATCATGGAATCTTGAAGAGCCGTAAAACTTGATCGTCGATCAAGGCAAAAACAAAAACAGCATACAACCTACCGCTCCCCCAATTACCTTCATCCATGTTTTTCATTTTCATTTCTGTTATCAAGACCGATGATCGAGGTGTCGCTGGTAAGTGGATATTTCTTCAGAAACCTAAGTAAATTGATGACCAGTTAGCAACAGCCCGAAGGCCTGAACAAATTCACCCTTCAACCATCAAATTATCGATGGATAAAAAATTGTATTAAAAATTTGTCAGTCACGCACGAAATTTAAAGACGTCAGAGCACTTGCGGCTTGCGTTTGCAACTCCGACAAAATTGTTTTCAAGATATCTGATTCACGCTTAACTTCATAGTTATACAGTTTCGGTTATGTTATAAGATTATTTAGGTTCAGATTGGTTATTGGCGGTTTCATCTGCGCTAATGTCACCATTTTCGACTCTGTTTTCGGCTGAAATTTTACATAGAGCCTTCAATTCTCTTTATTGCGCGTCCGAAGGGTATATTCAGGAGACTAATTTCCGATGCGAAAGGGCCGATTCTAAACTTCGCACTGATCACTCTAGTTGTGCGTTATCTTTGCCCACATGTAATTGATTTAAGGCAAACTGACTTATTTTTTGACTCCATTTTTTCTCTACCGCTGTCTTACTCATAGAGTAATCAGTTAGAGCTCCGTCAAAACTCTAATGCGAGGAAACGAAACTAAAGTTTTCGACTCATCTTTAAGTCAGCTATCTGTAAGGAATAATTAAAATGCGTAAAGGTGTGATCTGGCCTCACAAAAGGGAAAACAATAGAGAGATTGAGCTATTGTTAGTTTCACCAGCCTACTCCATGATGAAGAGTACTGCCTCGCGTTCATGGTGAGCAATGAAAAAGACTCCTGTTCAGCGTTTTAAAATAACAATAAGCGATATGACAGACCTACAATCCCGGACAAAACTACTTGAGAAAGTTTTCCCCATCATGTCCACTTTCCTACGCAACAAAACTATTTCCAAAACGACGCCTTTGCGGGAAGAAAACCCCTTCCCCCGTTTCAATGTTGCTTCCCCAAAAAGCCCAGGGATCAAGCTTTCTTTTGAATACACAACGACATTGCTTTAAGGGGAAGGGGGAGAGTGAAGAACCGGTACAGCTACGATTTTTAGAAAAATGCTGTCAAAGTATACAATTTTCTCAACAGTTTTGTCCAAGATTGTGTACAAGGTGATTCGCGTTTTCTCGCAAGAATATTTGCAAGGACAAAACAAAAACATGCTAATAAAAGGCACTTTACAGAAGCTGTTTTGAGCACAAAGTTTCACGCCAGACCATCTTCTCATAGAAAAGCAAGACCTCATATACGTTTTTTGCAGCACCCTCTTTAAAACAGTGAGATTTCGCAATAGCCGTACAACGCGTGCTAATTGTTACATATTTTCCTGTAGCTCCGGAATGGAAGGCTCGGAAAATGTGAAAAGTAATTTATCTTTTTCAGAAGAGTCTGAACAAGACTTGTATGACGGTTCTCTTCGAAGAAAAGGAGTTCGTAGTGTTTATTTAGGGACATAATAGTCAATCCGATATGGAACCGTTTCCAGTCACGTGGAAATTGCTTCTCAGAGCTTATAATTGGTTAAACTATGGGTGTTACAGAAACTTTGTTCCTTAAAAGTCGGTTAACTTTTTATGTTAATTCCATGGATAGAATATTATTACGATTAACAAAGCATTGAAACGGTTAACACCATTTCGTTTTCAATAGAGAATGACCTCCTGATTCTTATTCAGTGTCTTATTAAACTTTCCTGTTAATCGTTGTTAACCGTTGCTAATCTTCGCGGCCGCTCAAAAATGTCCTGTTAATCGTTCCGACTTGCAGATATTGTGGAGAGAAAAAGATTAGAAGTCAACTATGGCAACTTTTATCATGCCTTGGTTTACAAATTATCAGTTAAGGTCATAATTTTTTCCAGTCATATGTAACCCGAAGACAAAACGTCCACATTTACAGATCACGCGATAGTACATCTTGTCACGTTATCGCGCGTGACATTTCTAGATTTCATAGTGTGTTTCTTTGGACTGGATATCGCTACAGTTTCAAAAGTAAGCATTCAAATGTGAAAAGTAAAAATGCAGCTTTTGTAAATATTTCATCCTCTCTCCATTTGATGCTTTTATTCATTGCAAGTGCTTGCCCATTGACTATTTCGGCGATGGGAAAATTGTTCAAAGTTGTCGGGTTACGCGCTCTGAAAATTCAGCAAAGTTTCATGTGTTATTTGTTGATCGAATCGTAGTGGGTGAAATTCCCATTTTCTGGCTAATCTGCTTGACGGAAACGTCCTTTTCGTCCTCGAAAAGCGCAATGTATGCCCGCTACTCTTCACTCAAAGCGCGCGTAAAAACCATGCATGGAAAATGAATTTCGCAAACGTTCTTGACTGACCACTCCAATCAAGCAAGACATACCAATTGGTTTTCTTGTCATAAACGCCTCTGTTTTTCACTCATTTTGCATTAATTTTATGTACTTTTCTTTGAAATGTACTACATTTATAAAGAACAGGCTTATTTGGCTGCGTTAAAGGCTGCAAATCGCCTTTCCCAGTCAAATACAATCCCGGACAAAACTACTTGAGAAAGTTTTCCCCATCATGTCCACTTTCCTACGCAACAAAACTATTTCCAAAACGACGCCTTTGCGGGAAGAAAACCCCTTCCTCCGTTTCAATGTTGCTTCCCCAAAACGCCCAGGGATCAAGCTTTCTTTTGAATACACAACAACGTTGCTTTAAGGGGAAGGGGGAGAGTGAAGAACCGGTACAGCTACGATTTTTAGAAAAATGCTGTCCAAGTATACAATTTTCTCAACAGTTTTGTCCAAGATTGTAGAAGTTTTCACCGACTGTAAGTAAATTTCCCGAGAACAATGGCCATTTCTTCCGATGATCAAATCGCTCTATTGCAGTTTGTTTGTTGTTTCCGTTTTGCTCGCGCGTTTTCATTTCAAGGTCATACCAAAATCGCTCTAATCAATAGCATTGCAGAAAATTGAAAATGCCTAAACTGAAAGAAAACCTCAATCGTGTGTCGTCGCTACAAGAGACTCGCTGTTTTGCAAAATGTTTACGCCGTTATTCTTTGAGCAAGGGAAGAAGTTGAAAACCTTTCCGAAGAAACTGTTTACAAGTAAGATTAAAAAAAAATAGAAGAAGCAGAGACGAAAAGTAGCGTTTTGAACTTAAATAATGCCTAAACTAGCAAAAATCCTCGAAAAGTCAAGTGTTACGAGGGAGGTATATATGTGAATCGGTCTCTTTTTTCTGGTCAGTCATTGTATAAAACAAGCATTCACCACATTGTATAATAAACAAATAAAATCCATGTTTGCCTTGAGTCGGTTCGGTATTGTACAATCATGATGTGAATGCTACACACTGTGATCGGTCGTTGCCAAAGAAGAAAAGAAGAGGCAGAGACGAAAAGTAGCCTTTGATGGCATTGAAACATTTTTTTGGAGAAACTGTACTCAAGCAAGGTAAAGAAGAAAAGACGAAGCAGAGGTGAAAAGTGGCCTTTGAGACTTACGGTGGCTCGAAAGGGCTTTTCAGGGTCACCAGTTTCGCGAGGGTTTGCGAGACACATATTTCTAGTAATATGCATGTTATATTATATATTTTAAATCTTTTTTGTCAAGAAAGAGTAGCATTTGAAAACAAATCGAGTGCACTGTCGTTTTTCACAGATCCCAAGATGGATGTTATGAGAACAACGATTACAGTTCTCTTTATCATGTTCCACACGCTGATAAAAGAACAGCAGGCACTAAACCTTCAAGGTAATGACTAGCATAACTGTAAAATAAGTGAGCAATTTCAAATTATAGTTGTACGCACTCCGATATTAATGAATCCGCCTATATTGCTTTATTACGTGTTTGAAGTCATTCTCTATGAGAAAAGTGTACTTTGGTGCCCTTGAAAGCCTTCCCCGGGTTTTTCAAGCTCATTAAATCGCGCTGCAAACAAAAAGGGGATGTTTTCCAAGTTTTTCTTGAAAATGAAGGTTAAACATGATCACTGAAACGATTTCAGCGAAAGCCTTGGATAAGATTTTTCTTTATTACCGTAAATGATCCGCACAGTTGAATAAACAACCTAAGCGGCTGAAAAAGAACCGAATCACAGTGACCCTGGCCTTTACAATGACCGGACGTAACGCTCTGGAGAGCAGGCTATTGTGAGTTCGTAAAATACCCGATGGTTGAAATGACATGAATGGAAATATATGAAAAATAATAGTCATTTCATATATTTCGATACATAAAAGAAGCTGATAAACATGAAAGGTGTTCAACGCCGGCATAAGTTATCTAGTATATCATTTTTTCCTTTTGAATAACTCATTTGTAATTCTTATTTCCTAAAATGAATTGTTAAGCACTGTGTAAACGGACGCAACATTGTTAGCCAACAACTCCCAATATTGTTGAGAGTTGTTGCGTCTGTTTGCACGTAGCTAAAAGTTTGACAGGTTTCAAATTTTACACAACAACTCCCAACAACATGCAAAAGGCTGTGCAAACGGACGCAACATGTAACATCCAACAATGACATTGTTGGGAGATATTGGCCAACAATGTTGCGTCCGTTTGCAGGTAGCTTAATGACTACATAGTTGTTACACTGTTGTGTTGAAATAAGCCAGTTTTACGGAGATCTTTGTTAGCGATCAAGGATTTTGTTTTGGATTGTCTTCTGTGTTATTTTAAGGACAATTGTCTATTAAATGAATTTAACATTCTCATTAAACTGGAGAAAGTACAAATTCCTATCCTTCTTTTTTACTACGTTTTTGCAGATTACTCCAACTATATAAACGAAAAAAAGAAAGAGATAAATAAGAAGCTGGAAAGAGTCAGGAAATTAAACGAAGAAGTTGTTGAATACATTGAAGCCAGTTGCCAAGGTAGGGAGAAGGACATCCTCAGAGTACCAGGAGTAGTGGGGTAGGCACCGGTTACTCCGTTATTTTGCGGGGGAATCTCAGTAACTTCTTGGGGAATATATTAACGCCGATGACGTCATAACCTTTTGTCTTTATCTCGTGAATAAAATGCGCAGGAATCTCATTAAGATAAGGTCGCGCGCTATTTTTAGTTAGTTTAACCGGTTTTACAGGTTTTAAGTTGCTTTTAGGTCGGTAAATGCCTTGGTTTTCGATTGGTTGATTAGAAAATAATATATAGATTTAGCCACAGCTAAAAGCGAAGCTCCTATTGATAAATTTACAACTTAAATCAAACAATAATTTTGTATTCCACAAATCATTTACTGAAGGGCACATTCATGTGACTTTTGAGGGAAAAGCGAAGTGATTTTGGAGTGAAACAAATCTTGTATCGAGTTGATATAGCCTTATACGTACACGCAAAAAATAGTCTTCGGTCACATTTAAGAGCAATAATGGCTCTTGATCACAGTAGATAAGACGTGGAAAACAAATTATTGGAAAACAAATCAGGCCGAATTTTTTGCGTTCGACAAGTTTACAAATTCTTGCCAATAAATCTGTGCGCGTGCAAACCATTCTTTTATTTATTTTTTTTACACCACATCTGAGGAGAAAGAGTACTATGAGGCGCTGTTTTTATCATACAGACCTCGTACAAAATGCAGTATTTCACAATTTTTCAAGACAAATTGCGTTCATTCAATACTCAGGACCATCGAAGCACGCGTGGACTTTTAATTAGCGAAACCGTTCAAAAAATGTCCAAAATCACCTATGAGGGCCAGCCAGTTCTAAGTTTTGACAAGCGCCCAATTTGCGAAGAAATTTAAAAAGAGTTACACTTCAACGTGATAAAGAATTTATTGAGTCTATTTTTTATTAATGGTTTTATAACGATGTGTAATCTTAAAAAGCGTTTGATACCCTCGGCAGTTTGAGTACTCCTGCAAGCGATGTTTATGAACGCCTGAAAACAAACGGCAAAGCGATGAAAATTACACTTTTGAGACTACCAACATTCAATAAAGAAATAAAATTCGGTAGAACATTTACAAAGGCAACAATTTTCATTCACGAAAACAAATGAGTATTTAAGTGTCTCTAAGAATCCTCTAGTCTTTACTAGTAAGCTTAAAGATTAATAGTTATTATTTACATATGGAAATCTATTTACTATCATAATTACATCATATCATAGTGGCATACTGCTCGTGAGCAGGTGATAGGAAAGTCAGCGATCTTGAATATATTATCGTCCGAGAGGGTTTTCATTGCAGTTGAAAATTGGATGGCGAAGTGTTCTCGAACTAGCGGGTTTATTTCGCCTCAGAACGAGAACCTTTGAAGCAAAAAACTGCCAAGCGGTTTCTGCAGATGCTGTGTTTTGTTTTCTTAATATTTTTGTCAAAAATGAACGGACAAATGCAGAGTAAGTTGGATAAATAGAATATATTTAATTTCAACGCGCATGTAGCAGAAAGTTGTTTGTATTAAAGCGCTAACTGTGTTCGCCGTAGTTGTCCGATTACTCATTTTCTTCCAACAATGCTTTGGGTAAGAACAACGTTTCAGTTAAGAGGTAGTTTGTCAGCTCTCTTCCGCCACTTGTGCGTTTACGTTCACAAATATGTTAGCCTATCATTTTAGCATTAAATTTGATCAACCTTTTGTGGAGCGATTTCTATGGTCACGATTGCCTTCAAACTTGCAGACATAAAACTAGAGAGTTCTGAGGCTTATTTGCTGAAGTTAGGGAAAAATCTGTCGTGGGATTTCGAAGTTATTTTCATTTTTCGTAAAAATGAGGTTTTAAATATATGCCGATACCTCAAAAGGTTTTATACCTATAAGAAAATAAATAACATTTTCTTTAAGTTCCATCATTATTTATTAAGGATGCAAAGCATCGTAGAAATCGGTTGAATCTTTCATTCTGAAAAACACGAATCAATAACATAACCAACACGCATATAAATAGGAACGGGCCACCTTAATGACGTCGTTTTGTTCCTATGACAGCAAATTTTCAACTTTATAAATGTTTGTGTCTTGCCATTGAGGTGTTCATTGGTTCGCATTAAAGCATGAAAATGCGCACGTCGAGCAATTTGTAACGTGAACATTCATTGGTTTTTTTTTTTTTTTTTACATAGACAGGACATGCAACTTCGATGAATCAATGTGTGACTTCGAGCAAGACAAAAATGACAAGTTTATCTGGACTCGACGCAAGGGAGCTGGAGCGTCTGACTATACAGAACCTACTTTTGATCACACAACTGGAAGCACGACAGGTGAACCGTATACTTAATTACTAATACCACTGTCAAAATCCGCCAAACAAAGAGAATTGTAATATAATTAGTTAAGGCCCTATCCACACTGGAGAAACAGCCGTTTATTTAAAGAATTTTTCTGTTCTCACCGACGCTTAACAAATGCAGATGATTTGTCGCGATTGAAAAAAAGAAATTGGACAAAACCGATTCAATAATCAAAAATTTGTTTTTCTTGTTAATTACGTTGTTGTTTCGTTAGTTTTTACTTAAAAAGAGGCGACTTTTTAAAACATTTAGCTATAAAAAGCTGCGAAAAAAACCTCTTTTAAAAACATTTCAAAAAATTTTAAAAGTTAAAAAATGTAAGACGTTTCAACGTTCTCGGACTTCATTATTAAGTATTCAAAAATAATTGAGCTCCTGAAGTGTCTACTATCGAGGCTACCTTAGTGAGGGAGCTTCAAGCAATTGAGTGCTTCGATTAAATAGTTTATTTATCAACGTAACTAAGACAGAGTCAATGCTTTTTGGGACATCGCAGAGGCTTGCTAAGGTAGATCAGTTTTCAGTCAGTGTCAATGGGTCGGCTATAAAGCGTGTTACTTAGTTTAAGTAGGAACGAACATGTAAAGCAATTGTATCTAAAGCTGGCAGGCGGGTCGGTCTGTTAGGAAGTGTTCGCCGTTATATCACCACACATAGTGCTAATGCCATTTTTTTATTTATGATTAGACCGACTTTAGAGTTCTGTGCTGGGGTCTGGGGTGCTGTGGGGAAATGAATAGTGGAGTTCTAGAAACTCTGCAGAAGCGCGTTGAAAGAAATTTAATTAAAACATCTAGTAGTGACACTGCGATGAAAGCTTTGAAGTGGCCATCTCTCAGGTCAGGCAGGCGCGATGAACACATCCTAAAACTTGTAAGGAAATGTATACATGGTCGGTGCCCTCAGTATTTTGAGAACTATTTTGTTTTTAACAAGGACATTTGTGCTCGTTCAACCCGCCAGAGCAATCTCTTGCATCTGCGTGCTATAAGAACCGAAGTGGCCAAGAAATCCGTTTATTACCATGGAAGTATTCTTTTTTAATAGTTATTGTAAATGACCTTAATCTTGAAAGATCTTGTTGTTATTAGTTCATTTGTTAAATTAACTTGGATATATTTTATTATAATTATTATTATTATTATTATTATTATTATTATTATTATTATTATTATTATTGTCTCTATTATCACAGTCTTTGCTGGTGTTCTTTTTGTGCATCAGCCGGGCGCAAACCATGCACCTAGAGCGTCAGTCACTCAAGTCAATCATTCTGTTCATACACTGAGCACCTTTCTGAGGATTCGTGCAGATCCCAGCATGCAGATCTTTTGAATCTCTCTCATATTAGCTCTTTCTGATACTTTCTTGATGTTTTCTACCATACCCTTCTTCACTGTACCAAGCGCACCAACAACCAC